TTTTTCATTTATTTTTCTGAGTATTTTTACACACTGACCTCTGCCGGAGCAGGAACATGAAAAATAAAATCTATTTGTATAGATTGGCATACAGGAGCCATTGGCGAGCGAGGATCAGATGGCAGGGAAACCAGATTATGTTGCAGGGCTCCAGTGGCATAACCCCGGACATTAATGTTAATGGAAAACCACATGACCTTGCATTTGCCTCGGAGCGGCTCCGTTTTAAATCCAGTTGACATGGCCCAAGTGTGGAAGAGGCTAGAGAGACGGTGACGCACGCATGAGAATGGTCTTGTTTTTCTATTTTCTTACCTTCTCAGGGGATCCCAGAGGCCACGTGGTGAGCTTCCCTCTGCTCCCTGAGATGAGCACGGGAAAGCAGAGCTGAATGTGGAACCACGGTCGCTATAATGCTTACTGGGATGCCCGTGGCCCCATGCCAGATGTCATGTGATCCAAACACTGAGCAGGATGGCAAAGCTCAGCTTGCACTGCTTTAAAATGTCACTTGAGGTGTGTTTTTTTGCTCAAGAGCGTAATACCTCTTGTTTTCGGGGAGCAAATTGGACTTACGGTTGGTTAAAAGAAAAAAAACCCCACTGTGATGGAGTTGGCTTTGCCAAGAATTGCTTTCCAATGATCATCCTGCTCTGGGAGGAATAGAGGGGATAGATGCCAGAACAACAGAAACAGGCTTTGTTAAAGGAGCTTTGCGCACACAAATGAAAGAATGGAAAAAGCAGGGGTTCCCCCCCCCCCCGCTCACAAACATCCAGTGGAGGATTTGCATTCGAAAATACGGTGCAGCTCCACCGCTCCGAGGGTCATCAGCACAATTTAATTACATTAAGAGATGGCTAAATTGGACTTTGCAAACAGACAAGGCTTAAGGGATTACTGGACCTCTGACAGAGAGATCAAATTTTACCTTCGAGCATGAAACAATATGCTCGCTTCCTGGGACAGAGGTGGAGGGGAGGGGGAGTCGGAAGGGGGGAGCTACATGATTCATTTCTATTAACTGTATTTGAAAATAGGACAAACTTGGCTTGATCACAGCCCCCTCCCCCCAAAATAATCCTCTGTGCATTTGAAGATATCTCATCACTTTACTTCCCCAGCATCTCCCAACTGCTATCCTCTCCTCCATGTGCAATGTTTTGTCTGCATGCCTCCGACAGTTCATACTATATATTCTTCAGTGATTTATTGAACACCGCGCTTCCTCTGCAGCTGCCAGCTCGCCGTATGGCATGCTGCCTAAATGTTGCATCACTCAATATGGACCTTTTCATTCTCCTCCCTCTACGTCTTAAAGCAGTAGTAGTAAGTCGATTTGACTGGACTGTATCATGGGACTAAGTGTAACATGGCATTCAAAAGGAAAGTAGCGTTGTCGTAGTTTCAATCTTCATTCATTGAGTCAGTCAGTTAAGTCTGAATCGACATGAAAGAAAATCAAAAAGTGTCGATGGCATGCTCTCTGCTTTTAACACCATTTATTGAACAATGAAAACACAGAAAGTCAAGAAACTTTAAGTTACATGATGCGTTATAACGACAAAGGGTTGCTCATCTGCAGCTGCAGAGCTACATTAGCATTCATTTGTAGTTGTGTTTCATGGCTGCTTGGTGAATGTTAGTCCAAAGTATATTCTTTCTTTCTAGGAGGGCTGGACCTACTATACATTAATTTGATCCATTACTATTATACCTGTTTTTTAAGATTTTAAATAAGCATTTGTGCTTTGATAAGTAGGCGATAGGCGATATGGAGAAAATCATATATCACAATATTTTTCAAAAAAATACCTCAATGTCCATATTGCGATGATATTGTAGGGTTGACCATTGGTGCTTTTACAAAATATTCACACAATCAGATTTTTGATAAATAGTTATCATTGATGTGGATTTAATGACTAAGTGGGTAAAAGCAGATAATACAAGTCGGGCAAGTTCCGAAAATTGCATAATTTTACTGTAATGCAGCCTTTAAAACCAGGAAAAGACAACACAAATGCTGTGTTATGATATGCAAAATCTGAAACAATATCAAGTCTCGTATCACGATATTGAATGAATGTCAATATGTTGCCCGGTCAGGTCGGACAATCTGCCACGATGAGGAAACACTTCTTATACTTCTATGAGAATATCATCTCCAATCACAGCTGTCTGGAATCTTCCACTGTGATGTGCACCTGGATTTCAGCATTTGCTGAGACTTGTAATCACAGAAATTCATTTTTTGTGTTCACACCTGGGCTCGACGGTAAGGGTTGCTGAGTTGCCATTGGCAACCGTTTTGAGAAATTGTCAAACCGAGCCGTTGCACTTTTGTGGAAAGCACTTTTTAATTGCAAATTGCAACACGGATAACTAACGGACAAGACCTAAGATTCACAGTATGTAAAGCTCTCCGCTGAGAGCCACTAAAGCTATTTATTCGAAAATTGCAGAACACACGTTGGGAAAAATAAACACAAAACAGGGTGCATGAAGAGCAGGAAACAGTTTCTATAGATGAACATAGCTCAAGGTTTGTGTAAGATCTCTCTCAGAAGACAGATGACACTGTTGCGTACGACAAAAAATGTATTTACACCAATTTAAATACAACACAAGATGAGGTTTAAAAAAAAAAAAAGTGTGTGTTTCGTAGTGAAAGCCCGGTTCCAACAATGCTAAACTGTATGCACTTAGGATAATGTAGGCTACTATTGTTGAAAGCACTTAACAAATGGCACGTTATTATCACAACAACCTCTCCGCCCTTTACGGCTCGCTCCGCATTGAGGTTTGGGAGGTGACACGCGGGCCGACCCTCACTGCCGTACCCATCTGAAAAAAAGGCCCGGAGGTGTAAATTTGTGCAGACAATTTATCCAAACTGCTTGTTCTTCAGGTGTTTCTTCTCCCTGCTGTTCCTCCAATTGTTCTTAAACAATTCCCTCGGAAAGATCTGGAGGGGGGGGGGTTTCTCAGCTACCATAGTGCAGGCCATTTAAACCGCGGGATACAAAGCTCTCAAGCACACTGCGAGCCAAATAAAGAGTTGGAGAAGGAGGCAGATAAAAGCTGACACCCAATGTATTATAACTCAGCTCTATTAGATATGAGCTTCTGCTAGGGTGAAGCGCCATAGCTTAAGGCAAAGTTACTGCTTGCTCATCGCGCTTTAGCGAGAGGGGGTGGGCTTGGGAAGACTGTGTGGCCACTGTGTTCTGTATACAGCACACACAGCCTCGTGCATGATTTAGCAAACTAGAATTCTTACTCCGATATTCAAGTGGCGATATGGCAGACGAGATAAAAAAGAGAAAAGAATGTGCTTCGGCTGCAAAACTTATCCTAAGACATGCCGTGCACTACACGCTTCAAAAATGGCAAGTAATCAAAAGAGCAAGAAATCGTCAATGAACTGTCGCTATCTATTTTATTTTCAGAATTGATATAGCTTATTTATTTTTATATATACACACACGCATTATTTTATCGAGCGCTGTGATAAAATAATGCGTCTGTTCATTTAAAGTATCAGTGACACAAAATGAAGCCAAATAGGGAAACAGCATCATTCTGAAAAACAAGGACTTTTCAACAATTGACAATTTTAATTATTTGTTACAAACGAATAGTGGTCCTGGGTCTCCAAGGCTTTTCCAGTTTTTCTTTTTGTGTGCGTGTGTTTGGGAGCGAGACGAAGCGGAATTTAAAGACTCTGTTCAGAAACTTGCTTTGACCAAAGTCCTGTGGAGACGTGGCTGGCGTTTGACAACAGGGCACCAGCAGACCTGGGACCAGCTGCCTCTTAACAGATCATGAATGCTTCAAATAATTAATAAATAAAAGTAGTACGATGGATTTATCCAAATTAAACATGAGTAAAAGTAATGACTTTTAAGCTAAAAATATACTCAAGTAGAACTTTAAAAAGTATGCCGCAGTAAAACTACTCTGACAAATACTATTTACTCCAAAGACTGACTAAGAGTACATGTAATGGAGTAACTATCTCATTACAACCCACCTCTGCTGATTGCCTGCCATAGTCAAACTACTACAGGATGTCACATGGTGAGGCTTGACAGAGACGACTGTTCCGAATAGCGCATGTTAAATGTCAAAGCACCACTTTCTAATTACTGACTGTAAAGAAATGTAAAGTGGTCACTGACGTGCAAAAGAGAGGTTTATACTGCGTGCAGTAGCGTACTGTAGCTGAAGGAGTAAAGTGAGCAGAAGTGCCAGCTCCAAGGCCACCAGCTTACTGATTTTGAATAGGTGAGAACATGGACAGATGGAGTGCCCTTTCACGTGAACCTCATTGTGTTTCTTGTAGTTTCTGAGATCAAGACGAGGTGAAGCGTTACCAGTGAGTCAGGGGCTCGTCAGACAAAGGCGGCAACATGCAGCTAATCCTTCCCCCGCTTAGGTGGAGGAGTGTAGTACAAGCCAAAAAGAGGCACGTAAGCAAGCGGCTGATCTCTTGTTTCTGAGACATGAAGCGGCTTAGTTTTACACGCTCAGGACACTCCAGCATTACGGCTGCTTAAACCCCAATCTCCATAATGCTGAGTGCCAAGCAGAAGCACATCAGGCACCCTTCATGAGGACAAAGGTTTTGACTCATTTGGTAAGTGAACGTACGGCCTCCCTCCATCGCGGTGGACACGACCATTAGAAACCGATGTTTGCAGCCTGTCTCGATCAGCCACATCACCCTAACTAGCTCAACTAGCTCCGTGAACTAGCTCCATCAGTTACCGTCATATAGCTCAGCTTTCCTCTATTGATCAGAGGTGATGCAAAACGTTTTGTGAAATGTGAAATATTGTGTGGGACAATGTAATACTTAGTGACGTAAAAAGTTATTGCAAGGCAACACCGTAGAGGTTCAGACAAAGTAAAAAATACTTTTGAGACCATTCATGTGAAAGGAAAGAGGTCAAAATATTACTGACGATAATAATGACGACTTAGTCGAGACCAACCTGGGCCTTGCTGCAGGACCATCTCCGACAGGTCCTGTAGGTGGATGAAGAGGACCAGACTTCCAGCGGCGGCCAGCAGGAGCAACCAGAGGAAGCAGGGCAGCCTCCTTCTCCGTCCACGCAGGGAGTCCGCCACCATCTTCCACTTCATCCCCAGCATGACGCGGCGCGATCAGCTGCTAATGTAATTAGTTCTGGAGAAAAAATCAAAGGCAGGAGGGGAAATGGGAAGAGGGAGGGGAAGCGAGACAAAAGAAAATGTGGAGTGAGCGAATCAGTGTGATGTAGGTAGCCTGTAGGTAAAGATGGGAGGAGCCATCTAAAATGGATGACCTGGGACGAACAATAGGGCTGGCTTTGCGGATATGATCTGCTAAATATGATCTGAATTATTCCTCCAATGCCTGTAAGTGTAGGTAAATAGCTGCTCTGGACTGGTTCCCGTAAATGGGGACTTTTGTCCACTTGTAATGAAATTGATCCAAACTCAGTCGTCTCAGATCAAAGCAGGAAAAAATAAATAATCCAATATTGTCTTGAATAGATAGAATCCCATCATTTATGAACTTAATTATAGTATTTACTCCACAGCTTCAAGCCGGGTTTCAATGTGCACATTCACAGCAGGTTCAATTTAGGTTGTAGACACACTGAAGGACATGATAAAAGAGTGTTTGTTATTTACTGAAACCCAACACTTCTGTCTATTTATGGTAGAGGGGGAAATCCGTGAAGTCTGACTAAAGCTGCTCAGAAACAAGACGGAAACGAGATGAGCCAACGCCTAATTCCTCCAAATAAAGAAGTCTGTCGTGTTTGTAAATATGCAGTTTTGGTAAACACAGATCCAGTTGGACTGGCATGAGCGCAGACCGACTCGCTGCTCTGTTCACACAGCAGACAGACCGTGTTGCATCTGTCAATGCAAGTTAATATGCAAATGGAGTTCGGCGACTACCCAAGCATGGGTTGTCAGTGCAGGAAATGAAATTGGCTCCGATTCAGCGATGTCAAGAACTTGACTTTCACATTTAACCCTCTGCTAAAACCAGAAGCTATAAATAGGTTGCAGATGTTTCATGCCGTGATGCTTTGAATATACTGTGATTTCTGTCAGTAGTTTGGTTTTATCGTCAACTTCTTTATACGGATGATCAAATACGGAGACGATGAAATGCGGCATGAAGAACAAATACCCAGAAATCCAGAGGGACTTATAACATCCGCATACTCAAGGTAACAAACAATGACACAAAAGACATTAAAAAGTCAACACGGAGAAGAGCGGCCAAAAATAAGCGCGGATGAATGTATTTGTGTTTTAAGAGAGACAAGTGAGGAGAGGATGATGATGGAGGATACTTTTTTTATGTCATATACGTCACAGGTTTTTAAAAACTAGTCATTCTGGGTAAGCATTTAATGACATGAAACTTTGCCTTTGGGCTTTTAATCAATGCAGACAGCCATAGCAGGAGTTCAACAGGGTTTGCTGATGCATTACAGTCTCAACCAGGTAACTGTAACCTGGTTACCTATTACACATGCAATCATTTGGCCCTGAGGTCTTGCAGACCTCGCGAGAAAGACAATTTTCAAAACGATATTTTGCCGCTTTTCTCGGAAGATAGCGTGCCATGTTAGGTATCAACGATATTTATTGCAATCTCATTATTCATGATACCACTGGCCCGCAATGGCCTTCAAAAGACAATAATGTTGATGACAGTCAGATGATCCACCATCATTTCAAGTAGGACAGGTTTGGTGGGACAACCATTTTCTTTCTTTTTTGAGAGACAAGTTGTTATGCTTCCAAACTCACTGAAACGTTAGCGGTTATTTCAGGTTACGGCAGTCTCTGTAGTGTTTTTATCAAATCCATACAAATGTCAGAATTGTCTTTGTATATAACGAGATACAATTTAGTCCTCAACAACCTGTGCTGCACTATAAATTCAAGCTGGTTGCATGCAGTCAATGGCTGCCACTGTAGGATATCATTAAAATGACACTTCCCCATTGGACAGACAATAATTCGGCTGACAGAGCAGTGGAACCCATATTGAAATGAGCAACATAACAGCACTCTGCTTTTTGTGAGGATCAAACTAGTCATGGAGATGTCAAACCATTAGGCCACCCCGCAACCCATTCACGCAGCTTTGCATTGACAACTTTTCAATCCCCTGTGAATGTTTTTTTACATCGCTCTGAAGGGAAACCATGCAGTTTGTTGCATAACAAGGGCCTGGTACCCTCTGTGCTCAGTGCAGTTAATAACAAGTGTTGTTTTTATTTATACCGGCTGACGAGATATTTCACATTGTCTGTTCCTTGTCTAATCTTCACGTCCAGAACAACAGAGATGGGGCAAAGTTGATGCAGGGAAACTGAAAAAAGAGTTGGAGACAAGAATTTCTTTTATGCAAAACTCATCATTATTTGTTTGTACAAGAAACGGCTCCGTGGGAACGTATGCATGCATTTCAACCATGTCGATGTAAATTGTGTTGTTCTGCTGGTTGTGTACATTGTGCAGTTGCCATGCCAACTTAGGTGGTAACCAGGAGTCTGACGACGTCTTAGGTGCTAATGCTACAGATTCACACTATACACTACGAGAGGACGGCCTTCTTCATAAAGTTTATGTTTGTTTACGTATTTTTAGAAAAGAAATCACTCCGACTGAAGACGGAGGAGATTTTCATCCAGTGTTGTTAAACTCAGTGTGCGTCACACAAGCCTCCTTACTGTTGGACCGCTGTGGACGTTTGACTTATTCGTCCATTTGCACTTTTAATGCAAATTAAGCAAACAGACTGAAAAGTGGAATTCAAGATCTCATAGAGAAGCATACAGAGGCATAGAGTGAACAAAAGAGTGACATATTTCACATTCAATTCCTGTCAAAAGGATTGCAGCACAGGGGTCTTCCTTGCACGGGCAGACAGTGTTTGTGTGCAACCACAGTATTTAAGTATGAAGCAGGACATTCTCACATTCTCACTCAATATAATTATCTGAAATAGTACAAAAAAACAAAAAATCACTGCAACTGTCAGGACTTGACAAAAACATCTCATTGTGATCAAACATCACGTCATTTTAAAGACATCGCCTTTGTACTTTACCTCCAAAACAGATGTATACGCCAAGAGATGACGTAACAAGTCCCGCTTTATGCAGGAAGAGTAATCGGACCGGTAACGGAGACGACTCTGCGTTTGATGTTCATGTATAGTACACATCAAAGAATAATGAAAATTAAAATGATGGCAGTTTATACGGATGTGCTGTTCATATACAGTACATGTCTCCACCAACTAGCAAAGAAAGTGTTTGCCTAGTAAGAACAATTTCTGATTAAATTCAAAGTTTTGTTCCTGAAATGAAAACATCTACCAGAGTATGTTTTGACTAATGCTCAATGAGTTTGAGTCTTGATTATTACTTAGACACAGTCACTGATTAGTACAGGGCACTTTGGAAATGATTTCCTTGATGAAACCCTGATCATTTTATCGTCTGTGACGACTCACACTAACTTTGGTAAAGCGGGCGAATTGTGAATTCATGCACTGACTGAATGGTCAGTTTAAAGCACCTTAAAAAAACAGTGTTTTTTTAGGATCGTACAGAGCAGCTTTATTTTCTGGATCCACTATGTGTCCGTCCTCAACTGGGACACTGTGGACCTGAAGGTAACTTAGGGTGCTTCCACACTTCAACTGTTTGTCTCGATTGACAGCAAACTAACCAACCGCACGATTTTATGACAGCAGATTTGTGATTGCAGCATGATTTCAAAAGCCAGTCTGTTCACCGTGAAATCTGTCCAGGAAGCGATCTTATTGATGTGTACAGACTACGGCCAAGTATGTAACCTGCTTATGCAAAATCGAGGCCTATGCACGTCAGTGGGTGTATTTTCGCTGATTAGGAGGTCAAAAGCTGTTGAAACTGCTGCGCCTGTGTCCGACTATGTGTAGCCTACTTTGTCAGTTCACTAAGTCCATTAGAAAGTGTGTGACAGCGCCTAATGTGTGTGTCCGATTGCCCCCCGACATTCGCATCTGGGATCGCGAAAAGATTGATTTTGACAGTCCTGTCGCCATCTGTTAGTCATTACTCATCATAACATGCAGTATAATAATACTAATAATGCTAATAATCAATGATTATTTTCAATGTCGATAAATCTGTTGATTATTTTTTGATTAACTAATTAGTTGTTTGGTTTATAAAATGTCAGAATAAATGTTTCCCAAAGCCCAAGATGACATTACCAAATGTGCTGTTTAGTCCACAACTCAAAGATGTTCATTTTACTGTCACAGTGGAGCAAAGGCAGCAGGAAATATTCACAATTCAGAGGCTGGAATCAGAGAACTCAAATCAAACATTATCAAAATAGTTGCTGATTTATTTAATAGTTGAACACTGATAGCTTAATTGATTCATTGTTGCAGCTCTAGAATGGAATTAAATTCCTCCCACGTTAGTCTGTGATGGTCCAATCAGCGAGTTAGCTGTCAGTCTGACTAACAGGTCAGGTGTACTCCCCTTGGTTCGTTTGTAAAAAACAAAAAGTCAGTGTGAGTCGGAACTGGTCCGGACCAAAATGAACCCAACTACAGGTGTGAAAGCACCCCAACTGTGAGCTACAGTCGCTCTCCTCGGCTGGGTGGAGGTTGAAGCGGGCTGGCCTTTCCCCTGCATTTGAAACGGGGCAACCCTGGACTCGTGCGTCCTTTCTGCTCCTTCAGTCTTTCTAGCCTCGCACCGTTACGGCCGGCTCTTGAGAGCAAAGTCTTCATGCGTGACAGCTGTGTTCGCGTTGGTGTGATAGCGGGGAGTGCACAGGGCTACCCATAGAGGTCGGGCTCCACCTCCACGTCCTGTAACTATGGTTATGTGGACTTATGGTTGTGGACTTATGGTTGAGACCTTCATTCTTCTTTGTTTCACCGTCTTCAGTTTTTACGTTCCTGTATCAGATATCAAAGACCTCAGCAACAGCATGTGGGCTGATTGTCTCACACAACGAACTGGCAAAGAAAGCAAACTAAATCCGTTTTCATTATCTCGCAGCATAATCACCTGCTTCCTCCCAAAGTTTGAGAGCATTTCAGAAGTCCTAGAAAATACTTTTTTTCTTTTTTTTTAAAATTTCATTCATGTCTAATTCCCT